TAATTGAATAAAGTTATGTGTACATAATTCTTTACACAATCCTTTACCCCCCTTCACATGGAGGGGGGTCCACACATAATAAAATAATCGTGGACCCCCCTCCATGTGAGGGGGTGTAAAGGATTGTGTAATACATGAGGTGTACATATAGCATCACCTAATCAGATATTACTTCAAATATTTAATATTTTTAATGCCAACAAAATTCATCACAATCCCTAATTACCAATTCCTAATTACCAAATTCAATCCAAATCCTAACATATTCTCTCTCTCTCTTCCTCCCCACTCTCTCACACCTGCAGATTACATCTCTCTCCATCTCCCCCCTTCTCTCACACTGGGTAGATTGTTGGAGACCACCTTCGTTGCGGTGATGACTCCACTATGGTGACCTGAACGACACTGCGGCGGCGATGCTCACGCCACTACAACACAGCGACCGCTGCTCAATGTTGTAGCACACTAGCACCCATCGCCGCCGCAGTGTCGCGATGACGCTACATTGCAGAGCAGCTTTCCCCTAGCCGCTGCTGCAATTCGGTAGTGATGTTGGTACTACAAGTGGTTGGTGCAGGTGGATGTGCTGGCGGGGAGAGTGGATCTCGCGGTGGCGGTGAGGGCAGTGGTAGTAGGACACGTTGACGGAGTGAGGATGGATCTGGTTGTGTGGAGACCCTTTGGTCAGTTGCTGGTGTGGTGATGGTGTGCTGAGGTAATGTGGCAGCGAGTGTGTGGATTTTTTAATAGGGTGGTGGTTGGGTGTTGTGCAAATAGAGATGGTGGTGGTTGCGGTAGTGTGCTGTGGTGGATCTGTGGATTTGTGGTGGTGGTGGTGGATCTGGATCTCTAGCAGCCCATATGATTGTGGGGGTGTTGGTGGTGGTGCGGTGGTTGTGGGTGGGTAGTGGTGGTTGTGGTGATGTTGGTATTTTTAGATGATTGTTTGTTGTCGGGAGGTAGTGATGGTGGTTCCGGCGACGGGGTTTTGGTTGCCATACCGTTGGTGCCAGTGGTGAGATAGTAGTCACAAGTGTCGGTGGTGGTCATCGATTATTTAGTTGTTTGTGACTATTAAATTGATTAATTTGTGATCGATAAATAATATTCGACTAATGAAAAAGATAAATTGTGATAAAAAAAATAATATGAGACTTGAAAAATTGTTAATTTGTGAGCGACAATTTGATAATTTGTGACTGCTTAATAAGTCGTGACATTTAATATTTGCAATTTGTGATCGATAAATAAAATGTAATGTATAAATTTTTTATTTGTGACCGATGAACAAATTGCGAGTTATAAAATTTCTGAACTGTGATCGTAAAATAATTTGTAATATATAAAATTTCTGTTTGTGATCGAAATATAATAGGTGACTAATTAAATTGATAGATTTGTGACCGATGAATAAATTGTGACTTATAAAATTTTCGATTTGTGACCAATGAACAAATTGTGATCTATAAAATTGTTGAATTGTGACCGTAAAAGTATTTGTGACATATGAAAATTGTGATTTGTGACCAATTATATGAAATTTGTGACCAAATTATATGGAATTGTGACCTTAATATATTTCATTAATAAAATATATAACTAATTAATTATTTTATAAATAAAATTTTAAAAACTTTGAAATTTTAAATTTTAAATAGAATCTTTTAAATTTGAAATTGGTAAAACTAAACCTGTTAGTTATGAAATTTTCCCTTTTTTTCTGAACCGTTGTTCAATTTAGAGGAAATTACACAAAACC